TAGCTATTGTCGATATTTTCACTGCGTACCTAACGCAGACGATCGGGAGAGATTCGGGTGATTGTCCATAATGGCATTGCAATCATGGCTTTGGTTGGTTGTTCTTTTCACTGTACGTCCGCAGACACATTCTGACAGCACTTCAGACAGCAGCTTTGTGCCCCGCCAGCTTCTTGTTCCATGCCTACCATGGTGTTTTTGTACAGACAGCACTTCAGACAGCAAGTATGCTGTAGTCGGCAATCATTCGTTTTGGTACAGAGTGGGACAGGTAGGGGGTGATGTTGCTGTAGTCGAACGGTGAGACGGACGNGTGACCACGGGCTGAGAGTCTTTGCTAGATTTTGGCATTTAGCAACTGGCATACGCTTTAATGTGAAGTCAACAACAACAACAACAACATATTGCTGACCCTTGGGGTCCATTTTATTTTGGTATACCTTTTCTAGGTACGTTAGCCTGTGACCACGGGAATTGGCCGAGTCAAGTGATGGATTAGTACGGAGAGATTGAGACAGAAGGAGGTACTGGATAGAGAGACCGGGATGGTTTTTAATGTGAAGACACAACAACAATAGTCTATTCAGTATTAACAGCGGGATTCTCAAGAACCAAAAAAAGGATCAAATCCGCGTGCCCCCCTCATATTTTGCCGAATGGACCGGACGTTTTTTGGGCCCCAAATTCCGCCGCTTTACACCCCTAACTTCGAGATTACAGGTTTTTCGGGCGAAAAAAGTGACCGTGGTCGTTAGCCGAATAGTCTAGACTTTTTTAAACTGAACGGAACCAATAAAATCACCGCATTTGATGCATACGTCACAGATTTTGCAAGCATTATTTGTAAAAAAATGTTTGAGCTGGGCGAAGTTTTTGCGTTCTGCATCTGCAGAAACCGCAGCTGCATATAGCTGCTACACAGCTGCCAAGCAGCGCCCCGCAGCCTTTTCGGTCGCAGACCGTCACGGGACCTGCTGAAATGGCTGACGACGCACACGCACACGCACAGCCGCAGCAGCAGCCGCAGCCGCAGCAGCCGCAGCAGCAGCAGCAGCAGCCGCAGCAGCAGCAGCAGCAGCAGCGGCAGCCGCAGGCACCCGAGCAAAGTCAACCCGCAGACGATCCGCGCACCCTTGGTCCTGAAGATGTGCGCAGCATCTGGGTGCTGCGCATCGGCTGCCTCCTCCATATCCTCCACATTGCGATCAACTCCGGCATGGAGTCTGAGATGTTCATGGGGCCGCTTGGCAAAGGGTCGTGGCACGAGTGGGAGCAGCAGCACCTCGTTGCCTTGCTTGGGTGATGCGTGATACATGGCTCAGGCTGCGGTGATGCATGCTGCTGCTGCGCAGATGTTGTTGTTGTTGTTGTTGACTTCACATTAAACCGTATGCCAGTTGCTAAATGCCAAAATCTAGCAAAGACTCTCGGCCCGTGGTCACGAAAGTGCTGGAGCCATCTGAGGATCTAAAGAACACGCACACGTAGCAAGAAAAAGGTGTACAAGAGCCCGAAGAGGTACTACTACACCTATATATAATCCCTGCAGCACCGTACGCGTGCCCAAAACTGAACTACACGTCCGTCTCACCGTTCGACTACAGTAACATCACCCCCTACCTGTCCCACTCTGTATATATCTCTGATGATGGATGATGGATGAGTGTTCCGAGTTTGAGAAAAAAATTGCAAACAATCAACGATCATGCGAGTTTTTTCCGTTTTTTTTTTCGAAGGACATGCATGCGATTTGCAACTCGCACCAAACAGACGACCGATCAAGGCGCTCTGTCTGTGCATGTCCGCGAAGGTGCTGAGTACAATGGTAGTACTGCACCCCATGGGGTAGCAATCCCCCGGCCCTCACTTTCTGGAAAGCCAGCGGCCGCACTCTTTGCATTCACGAAATGCGAAAAGCGTGCGTGACGCACACA